ATGTATATAAAAAAACATTTAAAATTTCTTTAGTTTACTTTTCCACTGACCATTTTTATGAATCACAATTGACTAGAGAATGAGAATTGAGAGCTTTCCATACTTACTTAGGCATATATTTTTATAGTCAGAATGGGAATATGTGCAGAATGTTGTGACTCTAATAGCTGAATTTATGAGTCGATCTAAGCTAGACCACCATTGAATACCTGGATCGATTAAAGTTAGACATTAACACCGTATGATGCCAGATTGGTGATCTAGAGCTTAAGCGTCAGCGTGTGAGACAGTGGGTGCCGGGCTCAAGTCCTTCATGTGGAATCTCGGATGCGCACCGCTGAGAAGTATCATACTAGGACGAAACGGTCGTTCAATGCTTCAGGGTTTTTTAATAGCGGTCTAGCTTAGATCGACTCATGAATCCAATTATTACTATATTTATAACATTATTTGACAATTTGTTTCAGCCTACGCAGAACCAAAATTACGATAAACAAGTTCCTAATTCTGTAAATGAATCTCATCATGGAATCAGCAATATATATATATATATATATATATATATATATATATATATATATCATAACAATAATTTGAATACCTTAATATACAAAAATTGCATTCTCATGTATTATTTCATTTATGAAAATTTCATTGCGTGTACATACAGCGAATTACATTAATTTTTCAAAAAAGGATGTCGAGGATGATGACAATGATGATTTAAAGCTGATAAGAATTTATTTACGAAAATAATTACTCTCATTTTTAATAGGAAAGTGATCATATGAAACAAGTCAATAAAATGTAGATGAATTAATTACTGATGAAATAGTTAATTATGTGTGTGGGTATGTGTGTGCGCATCAAAAAGATTTAACTGGTAATTAGTTACTAAACTAAAAATATAAAGTTTCATTTAGTTCGTTTTAGATAACATGTACCTGAAGTATAAATACTAATGATAAACCATCTTTTATGAAATAGTCTAATTAGTTGCTATGTTGGGATAAATATCAAACAAAAGTAAACTTTCGGAATGATTTAATCTGAAGTTATTCTTTATATTTTTGTTATAAACTTATCAGATACTTAAACTACTATATTCTTGTAAGCTTTTGTTGGACATAAAAATCACTGTTGTTTGTTTTATCTTTTCTAAATTGTTAATCTATAATGAAGCAATCGCTCAGTCTTCCTCCACTTGTGGCGTGGTTATGCTCACATTCGAATTTATTAATTCTGGCGATGTGTGGTCAAGATTTTGCCCTGTATTACTGCTTGAATAAATTGCAAATTCTGTATGTATAATTAGATGTGATCTGCTTGTTAAATTGTTTTCTATTTTGGTTATCGAGAGAGCGAACAAGCGTGGAAAACTGAATTCTGGACTAATAGTCACTTAGTATTACTCACAAGTATCTTACGTTTATTGTGTCATTGGTCAGCAAAAGTTCATTGGTACTAGATAGACAGTCCGGGTAATGTAATCAATACTCGGAATAGATCAATACAACTGCTCTGTTGTCTTACGGCTTAATCTCACGGGCCCTAAAAGATTAAAAAAGAAAATCTTTGTTTTCACCGACACATCATTAGAATTATTTTTTTCATTTTTTTTCTCAAGTTTCATTAAACATCAGATAATCAGGTTAAATGATGATTTTTAATGTTGAATATTGTCAAAGAGTCTCTCATTTCTTAAACATTCAAATAAAGAACCCTTGTAATTGTCACTGGAAAATTTCAAGTAACCAGTAACAACTTGAATTTGACAATTTTAAAGTCAGACTTAATTGTACTGTAAAAAATAATCTATTCATACTTCTAATGTGAATGAATATTTTTATTAAAAGGCCAGAAAAAATGCATCCTGATATACATAACATTAAAATCCACTTGGTATTGTTTTGCTTGTATCTTCCCATTGAGGTTTAAGACTGCAATTGATCAGTGTTTTATTGGCATATGTGCATACTGTGCGTATGCCTCGATATTGCCTTAATTCATAAGCTTTTTGTAAGCAATGATGGATAGTGGCTAGCAGTGGAATCCAGTTTGACACGCGTTTCGTCCTATTTGGGACTCATCAGCTGGACGTACCTGCTTATAAAAGCTTGTGAATTAAGGCAATATTGAGGTATACGCACAGTATTCACATATGCCAATAAGAGACTGATCACCTGCAATTTTAAACCTCAATTGGAAGATACAAACAAAACAATACCAAGTGAATTTAAATTCACCCCATTGTACAAGCAAGTGGCTATCAGGACTCAGTAGCTGAGTGGATAACGGGATGGCGTTAGAAGCGAATGGTACTGGGTTCGAGTCCCAGAGTGAACATCAACTCTGAGAGGCAGGTACATCCAGCTGACGAGGCCCAAATAGGACGAAACGCACGTCCTGGATTCCACTGATAGCCACTATCCATTTTTGTTTATAACATTAAAATGTTTTTAATTAAGATACCAACAGAAATAATTTACGAGGTAAACTAATTCTTATTTGTTCAATCATCAGAGTTAACATTGTCACAAATGTGTTTTAATAAGTGAAATCATTTTGCTTGTCGTGAATAATTATTAATAACTCTCGAAATTTGGATTCTATCGTAATGAATTTGAAAAATGAAAATATCTATTCACAATTTATCAGTCGATCCGAAAAGTGATTATTCTATGTGTAAAATGTTTTAGACTTGAAGGTTTATCCTTTGTTAATGACGAACAAAATGAGGTAGGCAATACAATTAACCTTGAATTGACAACTTCAACCAACTAATCTATCGTAAGCTAAGTATTACAAATATGTAACATTATCCATTCAGTTTTATTGCCCTTAACAATATATAAAGTACTCTTTATCCATCCATAATGATAATATTAATAGTTATATTTTTAACTAAAGGGTGAATGAATCACTTTTTTAATTATCTTACCATTTTCATACCGAAACAGTTCAGTCAATCTGGATGAGAAAATTAGTGACTGGAAGAAAAGAACCCAAACAATATATCTTTTTCACATTCTTAACTTTAATTAAACTTATTTAGAGAATCAAATGGATCTCTACTAGTTTAAAGTGAATTATGAATGTTTTTGACTCATGAATACTTTTATTAACCGTATATTTTACCTACAATCGATTGATCACTAAATAGGGACCAATATCACGTTTATCTAGTCCTTTAATTGCTTAACGATCTGTATCGATCAAATTGAAACGTGGCCACTAATCTGAATGGCTCGACATCATGTGATTTATGTTTATGTGTCAGATAGTTGGAGGCTGTCGACAGGACCTTAATTTCTTGTTATGTGAGACTCGTCAGTAAAAAGTACTCTCAAGCTTAAGGAAACTGCTGCTAGCTAGTAGATCTAAGAGGGGATCACTCAGCTGTTCGAGTGATGATCGAGCTTCTGTAAGACAAGCTGATCAGGGTTCAAATCCACCAAGGATCATTAGTTTGCTCAGGATTCCAGGTGTGCATTGATAACGAGTAGCAAATAGCATAAAACCGAGGTCTAGGGTATCCTATCGACTAGTTCCCACCACCTAACATATTTTATCTATAAGTCAAGAAGAACGTAGAAAGACTTAATATGAATGAATGTGTTTGTAACTTAAACTATCACTGATGATAATGTCTCTTTGCAATGTAAATACTTAGGGAAAACTAGAATTTATTATAAAGTGTTAAGCACAGTGTTACCTTAACAAGATATATTTATTTGGAAAACCGAACCTAATTCAGTCAACATGAAGATCTCAGTTTAATAGGCTGAAGTTCTAACAGAAACTTTGCATTACGTCAAGTTTTTATTTAGAAACATTTTACTCAAATAAAAGACGGCCAATTCAAAGAATTAATAGACAGATTGGTCTATGCAACTTTAGTATTTGTATTTAGCTTCCCGCATCACCTATAAACTAAAGAAGTATATACAGAGACATTTTGCTCACAGTTAGGACTTCTCTCTCTTTTCATGGCTAAATGTTTGTTCATAAATTTCTTCAGATACCCACTTTCTTTCGGAGTTGTACCCAATGCCTTTGTTTCTTCCTCAACAGCATCTGGGGAGCATATACTCTTGATTCTATACTGAAATGTCTTAATCACGTTTCTTTTACATTGTAAAGGAATAAAACTAGTAAATTTGCATATTAGCCAGTCCAAGTAGTTTTATTGTTTAAGTTTCTTTTTTAGTAGCACATATACTCTCCTTGTAAGTAGAGCATCCAGAAAGGCTATTCCAACTCTATTTTCTTCCTCACATGTGAATATAGTAGACGGATGAACTCCGTTGAATCTCTTGTGTGTCTTTACCCAGTCAGTATGATCTTTACAAAGGATGAACGTACCATCCACAAGTCGGCACTAAAATGAAAACTTGTCAATTCACTGCATTGGTGAACCGTTTTCCAGTTTAGCGAAAAGATTTCAGTTAATACGGAACCTAGTGGTGAATTCATTGTGACACCATCTATTTGTCTGCATAGTTCGTCATTGAATTTAAAGTTTTTGTTCATAGTACATTTTAGTAAGTTACTTGATGATGTCCATAAAGATTATAGTCCCTATTTCTTGTTCTCTAAGTCGCCCACAGACATATCTATTTTAATCATTAATCTCACAATCCTATTTAACGAAAGAGAAATCTATGTTGTATTTATTCAGTTTCCTGAACTGAGCTTAGAATGAATACAATATTTTATGGTGAATCTCAGGAAAATAATACATTTTCTTATAATTGACTAAATATTATGCTGACTAGAATGCAATCAAGAGAGACTTATTTTCAACAGCCCATAACAGTGAATTTCATAGGTTCCACTGAAACGTGTTAATGGATGGAGCTCAACTATCTCACTTGCCAAGCAGCTATCTTAAATGATATTGGTTTGATCCGAACCATATCGCGAAATGACTGGAGTTATATATGTTTACCAATGGATTCCTGCTCTATGGTCTGAATCTAATATGCTCCACACAAGAAATGGATGTTTTTGGATATGTCCTATATCGGTTTGTGGATCCTCACTATAGCTCTTCCATATTTCCTGATTTTGAATGATTCAACGATTGAATTCAGTGTATATGGTAAAAAATAACCTCAAGAAGTTTAGACATTATTTCTGAATCCGTATTAACTAACATTAAATAAATTTAAAAATCATGAACCTGTATCTACTACCCTAGATTTCTTGACTCTAGCTTTCGTGACATTTTTGATCATAGTTAATAAATCGTTCGCAAGAGTTTTCAAGCTAGTATCTATACTGTGACTCAAAGCTCTGTTCCATCAATCAGTCAGTCTAGGTATTGAAACGCTTTTTATAGATGTCTGGACTAATTTCATATGTGGACGAATGATACTCAATAAGAAATTTTCAGTTTTTTTTAATTATTAAGGAAAACAAAGTTGTTTTTATTCACTGGATATTACAAATTACCAATAATATTGTCAATGGGTTGTTCCTAATATGTTATTTCTATAATCCTTTCATTTCATTTATACTACTGAAGTGTGGTTCTAAATGAAAAAAATAAACTTCCTGTAACCCTTATTGATGACTACTGTTCTCAAAACAGTGCTAAGTTTACGAATAATTTAATAATTGCGTACGAAATCAAGAGAACTTACTAAAAGAATAAAGGGATTTTATGTTATACAATCATACCTATTCTAAAATTATATAGTAAACTGATATAATTTCCTATTCGTTTGTATTTGTTACAATTAATGGCCAAAGAGAGGCAAGCGGTTTCATGGAATACAATATCAACAAAAAGTGTAATCCTAATCAATTGATACTCCATTTCGCCTAGAATTTTGTTGACCTTATAGCCTATTGACCTGTTATAATGCGTGACAGAACATGGCTTAGTATTCTAATTTAAAATTTGATTGGGTTATTGGTCTTCTGACCATTGTCATGTTAACTAGATAGACATTGGACATTGAAATAACACGTTGATTGGCTTATCGATATTATCTTAACCAATCAAGTATCAGTAAAGACTCACGTGACTAATACAGTGTCCATAAGCAATCATTTTCTACCATTTCCTTAATTTTTTTTTCACTTAATGATAGATGGTTAATCACAAACTACTTTTTTCTCCAAAAATCCTGTGTACCTGACACAATCAAGATTATTTTAACCTCTCATCATATTTTCAGCATCAAAAATCGAGCCGTTTTATTGTACCAATCCTCTCCAAACCACCTCACTACTCAATTTTAGGAATTTGAATGTATATGTAGTTGGTGAAGTTGGACACCCCAAGGCGAAAGTTATTCGTATTGTGCATATCTCAGATACAAGGGGGGCACATGATGCCTTCACAGAAAATATTCCACGAGGACATATTCTGATTCATTCTGGCGATTTTACATCTCACCCACCTTCGCTCAGCCTCCGCTTTTCAACATGGTGTAAGAGTATAACTGGTAAACTTCCTCGATTTAAAAAGCGCCATTCATCACCCATTAAAAACTGGAAACAACAAATCAAAGAGATTGATAATTTTTTTGCTCAACAGCCACATGATTTTAAAATCTTTGTTCCGGGTTGCTGGGAAACATGGTATTCGGATTCATCTGGTGACTGTCCTACGCCTGAAAAAATTCAGTCTCAGCTGACATCAGCCATTTATCTTGAAGACTCCTGGTGTCAGGTTTTTGGGTTGACGATTTACGGTATTCCTTGGACTTCAGCTGACGACTTAAGGCCAGAAGACGGAGCATTTGTACAGAAGCATTTAAGTCATTATACAAATTTTAAACTTAAAACTTCAATTAGCTGTCTGCGATTAACTGAAAAAGTTAATGGTCAAACATCATCCAAACCCACCACTACCGTCTCTAGCCCATGTCAGTCTAAAGGTTTTGTGCTGCCTAATATTGACGATGTTTCTAAACAATGGATGCATATTCCAGATAATACTGATGTCGTTGTAACTCACATGCCTGCATGGCGTCCTGAACTTTACGCCCATATAGCCGATCGTGTTAAGTGAGTTAGATCGCTTCAAGTTGATTTTTTATTCAAAGAAAAAGCTAATGATATTTCTATTCTTTTATCATTTCAGTTGCGTTTGTACAATATATGGTTCCTTAAAATTAATTTTAAATATCCGCATGGGCAAAACTAACATAACAGATCGTATTTATATTGTATAACTACTATAGAAGTGTATTAATTTATTGACGGCTCACTGAAATGTCCAGTAATTCATGTATATTAGAAAAACATAAGTTACACACTACTATAGACCAGATATTTTTGTTCTGTAAACATTTTTTAAACTTACATTTAGGAATGAAGTCAGTAGTTAAAATAACTGGTTTCGATGCTCAGTAATTAAATATTGGTTGGACTTTCGATCACTTTTTTATGGGGAATGCTGATATTACCTGACTTCCAAAACAAACGGGGAGTAGACTTCAAACCTTTAGTACGATTCTGGTAGACTGAATCCTTTAACCACCATACTGATAGATCCAAGTAACCAAACGTAGACATTAAGCCAATTCATGGTATTGGTACTTATGTATTTAATTTGTTCAGGGAAGTTGAGTCTTCACGATTGGAGTAACCTAGACAACTGTAGGAGGGATTGGAGACTGGGTCATGTTTCAAAATCACTATGAGGCTGAGTATTTGTGTTCATTTTGTTATTTTTCTTGTGTATGGTATCATTTCATAATTTTACTTAACCGATTTCCCTCGTCCCTTCCAACCTTATTTTTAGTTTTCAATTACTATTAGGATTATGGTTGTTTTCATACATTTTCTTACCTCTTGTTTATTCGCTGTCACACTGTTCATACGAAGTGTTGTAATTTTAACCGATATAAATAAATGCCAGGTTTTATTTTGTTTTTGTCTGTCTAAATAACTGAGTTGACCTATTTTCATTTATGATATTCATTTACCAATTTAGGATAGAATAGATAGCAAGATATTCTACCGTTTACTCATAAAGAGGGAAGTTAATAAATGCATTATTTAAAAACAGGATAGATAACGAGGAAACTTAAAGGTGTTAACTATAACGTTTGAACCATAACCTCCATTGGAGCATTTAAACTCGCGATAAATCGTATCTGTCTTCTGTGAAAAGACAATAAAACGACGTATTGAAGGAACTGATTATTACTGCTTTTGCTTGCATGAATCTTGTTTGAGGATCGGGTCAAATATATTGATGTATTTTGCTGAATTAGACACAAGTGTTGTATCGATTAGTCACTACATGTAGATATATTAAAAGATACGGTAGCCAAAATCAAATAACATGTCTGGAATACTTTCCTAGTTTCACCTGTAAACTACTTCCTTCAAATAAATTGGTTCGTTCTGGTTCAAAATTCATTTTCTTGACTTCTACAATATATATATGACAGGTGACTATTTGTCAATTCTAAGTATTTTTTATAAGCGATGACCTCAAAATGGTCAATATTATTTTCTTGAATACAATACAATGCTAATTTGGAATATTAAAGGCTTTATTTTTACGATTAATCCAGTGTAGTGCTTAAATTTTTGTCACTATAGATATTTTGGTGTTGTGCTGAAATTCCTCTTCAGTATATATATTGGACTCTAGATGGAACATTTGATAAATTTTGAATATATGGTTGACTGAAGCGTCTGGTCCTTTTTATTTCAACTAGGTGGTGCTGACTGAGAAGTTATCAGTAGATCCTCGACTAAATTAAATGCTTCGATTTTCATGTTGAAAACTGGTACCCTTTTAAAAGGGTATATATATATATAGTTCCATAAATGAGAAATGATAACATGATGGGTAATAGTTATACCTGACAGTAGAAAACTGTCACTGGATATATTGAAGTTTTACCGATTATGATTTTTGATGGATATACAGTCTTAATTATCGTCACTCAACACGTATAAGGAAATAAGGGGAAACCGAATTTCGTCAAAATGTTTCTATTAAGCAGTAAGAACAAAATGGACTAGTGGCAGCAAAACCAGAAAAACATTATTATATACCTAATGGTCTATTACGAGAAATAAAAATCATTTGGGAAATTTAACGATAACCAAGTTATTTACGATGGTCACTATTATAAGTTAGATTATGGTTATAGCTAGTCATTAATTGGGAGAATATTTTATTGAGTTTAAATTGAAAAAGAAATCTAGATCGAACCAATAATATGTGCAGCGTTTATGTGAAGCCTTTTGACTGAATGTTCATAATATTCAAATATATTAATATTTGTTACAGATTGACATCATCTTGGGTTTAAATGAAAAGACACTGGACAGTTGTTTTGTCTTAGTATGGAGCTCCTTGGAAGTGCTCATCCATGACCTCACCAGAGGTTGAACCTAAGACCATGTCAACCATTAGAATCAGTGGGACGGAGTCGTGGGTTTTCACTGTTAAACAATCCCATACTCAGATGAAACTGCTGTCCACTCCCTCTTGACTTTGATTAACATCAGTCTATGACGAATACTACTTACAAAAAATTAACCGATCTCCACAAACCCGTTCTAATTTATTAACGTTTCGAAAATCTTACGCTGCACACCGTTATCTTTGGTATACCGGATAAGAATTAAGCCAGATAGTCAGATTTTCATCCCAAATGGCACTTGAAACACAAAATTTATACCTTCTAATCGTTTATGTTCTAACTAACTTCCAATATTGTTGAGTTCGTCTATCAATTAAGATTCTATCCAATTTTTTCGAAAAAATATATTCAAACTAAGTATTATTCATCAAATCACAGTCCATAATAAGCTTCCAAACTCAAACTTGGTAATTTTATAATCTAAGTTATGTTCTAAGACCACTGCATGTTAATATGATGAACTTTTCTAGTTCGATTTCAACTGTTTGCTGTATTTAACAGTAATAAGCATCATCGAAAAAGTAGAAACTTTGTATATTATTTCTTCATTATCTATTATTTTCATACTCTCATTAAATTGTAGACTAAAATGTATGTTTTTTTAGAAACTATTATATGGAATGATAAACTAAATAGTCAGTTTACCATAATGAATTTTCCTATTTAATGTTATGTATTCAAAATTAATTAAGATAATAACAATCCGTCATAAAAACATATCTACGGATTGAATAAGCTTAGGCTTTCCATTCGCAATGCATCCATCAAACTCATTTTATTATTTGCATTTACTTCCAATTTACGTACTTCAAGAAATGAACACAAACTTGATGTTTTTTAAATTAGGATGATAGATTAGTGATCTATTAGTTTGGTTATATATTGGAAAGATAAATAAAATGATTTCGAAATACAGGCCGTGAAAAATAATATCTGTCAATCATCTGGCAAACTATTGTATTAGTTTGTTTGATGATAGCAAAACCCGTGTTCTGGTTTGTTGACGACTGGTCGTGTGAACTTGCATCGGAATGAGTATTGTTAGATCGACTAAAAATTCAATCTATTGGTGTCTTATTCCTCCTGAAGCTTGGTCAAAACAATTATATTTTGTTCAATGTGTACAAGATGTTTTAGGTATGTAAAATTTCTTCTTCCTTGATAACAGGACAGAATCCTCCACTTAGTATTGAGAGAATAAATACTTGTATGCTTATTTTAATATTCCTGTTAACTACAATTTCGTTCTACTGTCAGCCATTACTAAATACGCCTAAATCACAATCAAAGGTAATGTTAAAGCGATTATATGGTAAGTATGTGCAACTCGGGTGATTACGTGCCATGAACTAATAAATGATAGTTTAAAGCCCAATAATTTATAATTCCATTTAAAAGTGGTTGTTTTTTGGTTTTCTGTTTTCTGTACAATTTAATGTCCCTTGTTGTTTCGCCATTTAATGATTACTTGAAAAGAACTAAGTAAAATTATGACTTCCAATTTTATACTCTTTTAAATTTGGAATTAACTGTGGAGTACTCCGATGCCCCATTATAGTGGTCTGGTAATCTTATTTTTTCCAACTGAATGACTGAATTCCATTAATACTGACGGTAATTATCACAAGGCATCTAGTTCATATTAAAATGGGGTCGTATAATTTTTATCTGATAATCAATAACAGCGTACTCAGTTGTATGTAATAAAAGAAACTGCACCGTACTCTTATATACGTGTAATTGGGACGTGACATTTCAAATCTTAATTGATAAAGATTCGGTTTATTACTCGCTAATTTATTGATCAGATATTAGCAAGTTAGAAAAGCAAAATCAAAAACAACGGAATGGAAAATTCTCACTGTCTGATGAGTTTAAGGTTTTTTGAAAACACACTTTGAGTATGACTGAGACCAGTTTATTTGTTAGATTATTTAAAAAATATGAAAATGGCTTTTGTCGACATTTCACCTTCATCTGAATTCTTTTCAAAAGTAAACTTATTTTGTTTAGTATATCTGATTTCAGTGTACGAGTACATTCACAAGTTACCTTCCTTAAAAGTATTTACGAGATTTATCATGTGGATTTCTAATGGTCAACTTCTATCTCTTTTACATTATTTTTCATAAAAGTTCGAAAATCCTTCCCATGAAACTCCAATTTGATTGTTTGGTTTAATGTGAAGGTGGAGAGTCCAGTTGTGTTGATTCTTTATTCGGTATCTAATTTACCATATATTTATGATATTATAGTTAAAAATTTCAGTTTAAGAGAAGATAACTAAGTCTGTATTGTGTAGCTAAACGCTTAGTAATTCTGTATTTCACTAATCCATATAGGCGGTTTTGTCACAGATTTAGCATCGGTTCATGAAATCATTAAATGTTAGTTTGAGCTGTGTTCATAAGAGTAGACTACTTGATTGGGGTCCTTACATAAATTCCAATAAATGGTTGGAGACATTGGGTGACATGGCTCAAAATCTATCACAGTAGCACAAATAAATTCATCCCTTATCTTAAGTCTCGAGTTCCTACATCACGTCATACTTTATATTCTTTTATTACATTAATTCTCCAACCATATTCTCTATATTTATTTTTACTATCATTG